AAAAAAAAAAAAAAGATAAATAAATTTAAGAAGTCTTAAAGGTCATTTAAAAGGGTTTGTTAAAGGCTTTTTACGCTGTTGCAAAATTCGCAGTTTACCAGCCTGATGTTGTTCTCACTCCCGCTTAAACGCCCTTTTTTTATTTCCTCTTTATTATTAAGCATCGTTTTCATCGCACTTACGCCATATACAATTCAATAGAAAAATCACACAAGATTTAAAAGAAGCATGTGCTTAGAATCTTAGTTAACTGTTACACACTTTTCTATATACAGTCTTTTTTCGGTTCATCATATTCAGTCATCTTAATAAGATGTGCATACAAAACATATTTGTCTTTTCATTCTTAACGTTATTGTGCTAACTTTATTTATTAAACATTACGTTCTTCGCACACAGCGACATATTCAATTTTTAAAATTCAGTTCAACAGAAATCACAAAATATTTAAAAAAAAGCATATCTTGAGAATTTCAATTTCTCGTGCTGGAGCTAAAAATGGTTTATTCCGTAGAGTTTTGACACTACTCGTTTTTAAATCGTTGAGTTTGCTAATCAGAAATTCATAAAAATTTTACAAAATATTAAATAAATAATGAAATATATAACATCAATCTATGAAAATGATGAATATTTTTAATTAAATACTCTGCAGATACTCATTCTACACACGACGCTTGCTAGAACAATCGCTCATTATTATGATCATTCTATTGCAATTACTAATACCAGAAATTCCCTCCTGATAAGAACATGTCAGTCCATTTTCTGTATAGTGACCACTCATTATAACGTCATTTTTCTTTAGGGGTTAGGGGTTAATTTAAAAAGCGTCACTTTTATTCATTATTATTATGTGTATACCTATTGACAAATGTACATGATCATTATAAAAAAGAAATCTGGATTAATAAAATATTTTGGTTTAACACAATTTCAACTCAAATTTTTATTAGTGACAAAATTTCGTAGGAACCGAAATAAATGAAAAGATATAACCACACTTCTGAAAATAGACTGAAAATAAATTGCAATTAAACTATTACTTATTTATTTGTTTATTGTTTTTTAAAAGTTTCACTAGAATTTTTAAATAATTTAGGATGACCCTCTATATATTTTGGTGCAGTGCAATAATTGTTTTCTTTTGGTGTAATATCTCTCTCAGGGTAGGGTACGAACTGCGCCGAATATGATCGAAAATCCCCGTCCCCCTCTTTTCTAATGCACGAACTGCGCGACGTTTCCTGTTCCCCATTTCTTTCCAGGAAGATTGGGTGCTACAAAAAGTCGTTTATCGCCATTAATGGGACATTCTGTTGAGACTGCAAGCCTTTTTTTTTCGTTTATCAATATTGTAAAAACTGTGCATGTAACAAACATTAATTAAATTCTGGCGTGTGCTAAAAAATAAATTTCTTTTACACTCATTTTTAAAGTTTTATGATGCTTAAAGGAATGATGAGCCAGATTTTTTTATTCTCTGTAAGAATTAAAAAATTTCCAAGTGTAATTTTAGTCGCTGATAATATATATCAGTTTTGAATAGTAAAATTGATAGATTAATGACATTTAATCTATCAGTATAATTTGGTATGCTTTAATTATTAATTTATGATATTATTATCATAAATGAAAGAGTTTGTAATGCTAAATGTATGCTTACCAGTACCATTTATTTTCTTTGTTAGCTCTCGCATTTATTACTGTTATTCAAGTAATTAGCCTGCTTGTTAGATATTTTTTACTTGTTCTTGTGATATGTAATTCTATTTATTTAGTTTTATTTTCCTCTTGGCTACAATGACATAAAATTTAAATTGTAACCCTGTAGGCAGCAGGGGGGAAGAAATTTTGATTGGCGCAGTTGGACTATAGCTCGACCCGGGGGGGGGGATTTTCATTAGCGCAGTTGGAGTACACCCCTCTCTCAGCACCCCACCACCAAAGTCCAAATATTGTTTAACCGTTTGATAAAAAAAAAAAAAAAAAAAAAATCACTTGAAAACATTTTCATCTTCTAATTTGCAGGATTCTCCTTTCCAGAAGAGCACACTTTTTATTAGTATTTTTGGATTTATTATTTAACATTTATTGCTCCAGTAGTGCGTAATGTTTTTTGTCTTTTTTTCAGGAATAATAAATGCATAGATTGCCAGATTTCCCTTCACCTTTCGTTAAAACAGCAAAATGAGGGAAAAATTATCCAGTTTTTAACTAGAAATATTCTTAAAAATATTTATGTAGCTTCGCTATTTTTAGGCAAGGGAGCAGCTTCCTCGCGATATGCAGATCTGTAAAAAAAAAAAAAAAAAAAAGCGAGAGAAAGGAAGAGAAAGAAGTAAGAAAACCCAAAACTCGTGTTTTCCATTCTGACCTTTGCTGGGCTAGAAGGGTAAAAGATTATTCAACGACAGATAGGATTTTTAGAAAACGTTTTTTATACGCTTCCTGTCTTTGAGCATCAATATTCGACGGGCGGAAGCTACAGGTGTGACCAGTGGCGCCACCTACTGCTCTGAATTGAAATGTTAAATATAAAAGCTCTTGTTTCCGCTTTTCTGGTAATTAGGAAAAAGGAAGAAATATTCCGAACTTCTAAAAACATTATTTATTGACATTCTTGCGTTCGTAAATCAGATACTGAGGATTTCCTGTCGGTTTAACTTCTTATTTGTGAAACAGAAACAAGTTTAAACATATAAAACGTCTTGCGCAGTTTTATGTTTAGTTTGTATTTCTTTCTGCTTCAAGGAGTCTTTCTATATTCTCAGTTGGACTCTGTGGGTTTTCATAATACGGATGATGTTGAATACTATGCATCTGTCATTTGTCTTTATTATTCACAACAACGCATGTAAAAAAGGAATTATAAGAACTTACCCCAGAGATTTGTTTTGTATGTTATATTTTTAATTCCTTATACGAAGTAAAGGAAGTATTGTCATCTCGAAAAATTTCCGTTGTTGGATTTCACTGAAATTATCTATTTCGACAGTTCCTGAAACCACTTTGATTTTTTTTGCGTGACATCTTTACGTACGAGCAGAAAAAAAAAAAAAAAAAAAACCGTTCAAAAACCCCATTCTCTTCATTTCTAAAACGCAATGCAAAATGATTTTTTTTCGTGACTTCTGTACTTAGCTACATAAGCATATATCTCACATAATTGAAACAGGATTAGCCGTAGAACGTAGGAATTTTGTGCATAGGACTGCTATACCATCCAGGTGTGCACCTCTGTCTCTTATCGCAATCGGCAGACGAAATTTTCGAATTGAATAAAATGTTCAAATTAAATGAAAAAGAAAGCAATTTTCAAAAAATAAATGCATCTTAATTCTTCAATTTTATTAACAACGATTATGTTCTTTACGCAAATTGTAACCAATTAAAAGAGAGGTGACCTTTTATTTAAAAAAATTCAGATCAGTTATGTTGAAAGAAACTGTATTGCATTCAGCGTATCTACTTGTGGCGACTATCTCTTAAAGCGACCAGTATTTCTGAGAATACATTTTCACTTATTGGTACAGAACATCCCATTTCTAAATCGACAACGTCTACCGGCAAGCAACATCATCTGAAACTACCGTTGGTCACCCGAGACAGGGTTCACTGTATTTGCAAGCTGTCTATCTGTATTATATTTATACCTATTTCATTCTGATATACATTTTGATTAACATTGTATAAATTTTCTGAGTAATTTGGATTCGATGTTCTAATCCTGGTGCATGCACAGTTGATTCTTTACGTTTCTTGGTGCGGAGAAAATACTGGAAAAAAAAAAAAAGTTCTGTACTGGCACCCGAACTAAAATATGGCTGACAATAACTTGGAGCTCGTAGCTCTACCTAGTCTCCTCTTAAAAGGGGGGGGGGAAGTAAAAAATTATCGCTTTCTCCCTACACATGGTGTCATACTGTTAAGTGGTGAGAATGTTCACGCAGTACATGACGAAGCTATTGTTGCACAGCTACTTCTTTTAAGTTTTTTGATCCGAAAAAATCATAAAAATTATCTCTATGACCGACTGAACCTATTTTCGGTACTTACGGTTATAATATTTCTCCCGCCTTCTAAGCATGCCTTCGTGGGTAAATGGCCAGTACGCTCGGCGCGTATTCGAGAGGTGCGACGTTCGAGTCTAGGTGAGGGCATTGCTCATTTTTCATGTCTGCTGCTTCTAAATAGCCAAAGGACTCTGCAGTGGCGCCCGAACTAAAAACGGTGGTGGATGATGATTCTCCACCAGGATTTTGCGATTGAGTGCCCTAATTCCCAGTCACTCTTTAAAAGGGGGAGTATATAAGGTATTTCTCCCGCCTTCTTAGAACGCCTTCGTGGTGTAATAGCCAGCACACTCGTCGCGTATTCAAGAAGTTCGTGGTTCGAGTCTCGGCGAGGGCATTGCTCATTTTTCATCTCTCCCGCTTCGAAATAACCTAATGACTCTACATGGCAACAATATGTGCCTGTAACGTTGTTAAGTAAATGTTTGTATTATACAATATATTATATTATTAGTTTTCAGTTCTTATTTTATTCCGTGAAATAATGAAACAAATGTTGACAAAGCTGTCATCTAGATATAAGTAAAATGCATTATAAATTATTTCAATGATGATGTGCTAGTGGGGATCAACTTCTTTAAATGCAAGGGCCAGTTTAATATGTATTTTAGCGCTATATTTGGACAATATGTTTTATTTTAACCCATGTTTAGAAAAAAAAGCTTTGGAATAATAAACGCTATTTATTTCTAACAGTAGTTACTATATATTTATTCCAAATTCTTTTTTAATAATACTTCGAAACTTTATCCTAATTGTTTTTACAATAAGGACAATATTGAAAGAAATTATAAAGCTACTTTGAATGCAGCTTTCAGTAAAATATTCATTCTTAAATTTTTAAGCCTAAAATGTAATGCAAGTTAAATCAAAGCACTGAATTCTCCAACGCGAAGAACCTCACTAAAATGTTTTTTTTTTTAGGGTTGATCATTTCATCAAGACCTGAAATTCTTCAGATACATTAGGCCAGACCTCGGCAAGCTATGATCCTCGGGTCACCGATTGACCCATTTCAAAATTTCAAGTGACCCACTTGAGTTCGGAAAATAAAGTTTAACATGTAAAAATTGTTGTTGTTGTTGTTGTTGACTACTGCTCACTTGTCTGACCTATAGTCAACCCAAGCCCACGAAATTCCTCGTGGCAAGGAGCGCAAGATACGCCTGTCGTTGGCAACAGCCTTGAGCACTTTACATGTGACAGTGCGATTTAGCTCACTTTCGCCCCCAATTATCATGGAGAGCACCCTGGGGGTGAGGGGAACGGGTAATAGGGTCTCCCATCCCTGTTACCCTACAACCAACCTCTGGAGAGGACTTTCGGCCCGCCACATATTTAAAGTGCCCCCATGACTTACGGACACTATACATTTACAAACATCCATGCCTTCTCTGGGATTCAAACTCTAGTCCTTCGGTACGGCAGTCAGCGATGCTAACAGCTATCCCAGTTGGGCGGCCATGTATATAAAAATAAACTATAAAACATAAACATGAAACGAGCACTTGAAGAATACATAAAAAATAAACCGAAAATGAATAATAACTACATATTTGTTTGACTACAGAGTTGCAGTAATAAGCATGCCTCTTTATTTAAATAAATTATATTTATTTTTGTTTTAAAAAACTAAAATTATAATATAATTTTGGTTGATTTTGCGCGACCCCTGTAATAGAGTAACTGAGGTATCATCAGACCCCCCCCCAAAAAAAAAGATCAAATAATAACATGAAAATATTTTGATATGCAATTAGCGGACTCCTCAAGACATCTCTCATGTGTTAAAAATAAATCGCTGCGATTCTTTTAAAGTGCATAAACACCTGAAAATATTTACAACATTCGATAAACCTGTAGTCAGTAATAAATGCTATTAATTCAGTGAGAGGCCTTAGGAGATGACCTTACAGGTCACATGCTGCTTTTTGCAGCTGACCGTCAGTTAGAAATATAAGCTAAAGTTATAAAGTAACTCGGTTAAAGTTATAATACGATTTAAAAGCAAAAACTAGATTTATTGTTTTTAGACTGCTCAGTTAGTTAAATAACTACCGTTATAAATAAAAATTTCTTAAGAACATCAAAAGCCAATATTCTACGAGCTAGCTGTTTGGTTATACATCACACAGAACGTGTATTAAAATCTTATATCTCGTACAATGGCAACACTTGTTTACACATTGGCTGAAGCAAATCTACGTCAGGCTACTTGCTTTGCTTTACCACGCACCAATTTTTTCTGAACGTAGCAGAATATAAGCACGTCTGTATAATACCTTATATGCTATAGCAAGTTTCCTTATATACTAACACAATTAGCATATTATAGCCATCCAAAAAATTCTTCTGGATAAAGCATTGGATGCGCTTATAAAATAAACGTACATAAATAAAATAAAAAATTAAAGATATAAATAAAAGATTTCATACAGACGTATCAAAGCCTCAAAAAATATTTTAAAAAAATCTGAAAGGTTTCAGATTTTAAATTACATCCAAGGGGCGTTTTTTAACGTTTGTGTTTGGTGTTACTTGATTTAAATCATGTTTTACACTTAAGTCATAAAATCAGTCATAGCAATGTCGCAAAATATTTTAAAAGGAGAGTAAGATAGAAAAGGGTTCACCTGCACGCGTGTGGGGTGTGGTGGCCAATGACGTCACAGAGGGCGGAAACAAAGGCACGTCATCACACTAGGAGGCGTGGTCACGAGGGAGTTGAGGTGTTGGTGATTGCTGATTGAGTTGTAGACCTCTGCTTTTCATTTAAAGTTAGTTTTTTTTTTAAATTGGTAACGGGAAATATTTTCTGCATCTTAATTTTGATGAAATGTCGATGCTGCCCTCTCTTGACGAAAAAGTGAATTATATGTTTTAGAAATATATTTTTTAAGTCTGGTGTTAAAATTATTCAATGCGCGACTCTGAAAACAATGTAAAAGAACAAATAAAAAAAAAAAAAAGACTTTCCTTAATGAAACAAGATAATTTTTTTTATTACTCAATTTTATTCTGATACTTTTATCCTTCTCTAGTTTCTCATGAAACTTTAACTTATTTCTTAGGTTTTTCTGTTCATAATAACATATTCGTTTACTGTCATTTTTTAATACTTAGCGTATACTTTTTTAATACGTTAGCTAATTTGTAATATTTTATTTAATTTCCATATATTATTTTTTTCATACCTTTCATAAATTTCAGCATACCAATGATTTTTAACTTATATGTAATATTTTACAGACGTAATTGTTCTCGCACGTGCTGTTTATTTGTTACATTACTTAAGTTTTAGATGCAATTTCGCACCTTTTCTTAACGTTATAGTGTTCAATATATTCTGAATTTTAACTTCATTTACTTTTTTTAAACCGTTCTAATATTCTATGCACACTTTAACTTAGTGGTTTTAAATTTTGTTTAAAAAGAAACGTTTATTTTTCGTGATCTTAGTTCTTTTACTAATATTTTCTACAGAATTTCTAATTTTTTTCACATGTTTAACAATATCTTCCTTACATAACCGAATAATTTTTTTAAAAAACTTAAGTCTATAACTGTTAATTGCTTTTCTTACGTTCATGATTTCCCTTCTGTGTTTATATTTCTTAATTCTATTAACTTATTTAGTATAATGTTTTTATTTCTGTCTCATCACTCGTAATTCCAACATTTTATCCCTTTTTATTCATTTAACGATATGGATTGTTTTCATTTACTCCATATTCAAATATTTCCTTACAATTTTTAAAATACTTGTTTTATTCTCCGATCATAATAGATCATCTACAGGTTTTACTCAGAAATTTCCATTCACAACTTTACAGTTTAATACCATTTATATCTAAATGTATTTCCTTTCTCATATAGTTTTTACGATCTTCAAAGTTTCTAACATCATGTTTAGTTTTAAATCCCTATTACCTTTATGTGTGTTGATAATTTTCATTTCTAATTTTACAACCACGTTCAGTGTTTTCATCCACACATACCAAAATATTTCTTACATCTTTCTGATATTTAGTCTATGTCATATTTCAGTACTTAAAAATGAATTTACACTGCTCACACTATTATTTTTTCATGTTTTAGAGACACTGACTATACTAATTTTACTTTTTTCCTACACTAATTGCAATCTATGTCAGCACTCATGATAAACTAGCAATTGTTTTGCATCACATGCATAAAGAAATTCTTAAAACCAACTTTTTCAATATCGTAGTCAAATTACTGTTTTCCAGATGGGAATTACCAGTATTCTTTGGTTTTACTCTGTTACATCTTTTTAAATTTTAACATCTAACTTTTAATTCTAATATACATCTTTTGAACAGTTTTTTCTTTTAATGATAGCCTTACCTTATTTGTTCAAATTAACTCTTTCATTCACCTTCTTTACTACCTTTCAGTACCTTCATAATTCACTATGCAAACGCAATGTCTTTCACTAACATTCTGTTTAATAATACCACAAGTTTCCTTAATTGACAAAAAGCGAATTATTTCTCATTTCAAAATAGAACTACTATATTTTTGCACAAACATTACCTTCATCCATTCAAGACGCCCCTTAACCTGTAACTGACGTAGCGATAGGAAAGGAGACTCTTATCATATGCTCTTTCGACATTTGAAGTTTCTAGAACTTCTTTGGCAAGTATATCAGTACCATCAGAAAATATACTTGACATTTTTACTCAGTTTAAAGGCAACATACTGTTATAAGAATAGTTTTAGTTAAATTATAAACAAATAAACACATTTTGTGCTAAATAGGCATAAACATTTAGATTCAGAATATTTCTTTTTAATCCGATGTAAGACTTGAATTTCATTCATGATACGGATTGTCTCTTGTTTTTTTTTTTTTTTGTTTACCTTACACTAATAGAAAATTTTTATTTTACAAGTTCAGCTTTTAAGAAATAGAAATAAAAAACTAACGATACACCTGCTGTTTTTAAGAAAAGGAACTTTGATATATTTCTGAAAATGTAAATGCTTTTAGAGTTTTCTTTCAATAATGTTGATTTTCATTACTTTACTAACTTCAATAATTCTCTTATTAGCTAATATGAATGAAAGAAGATTGTCAAAAATGTGACACAGTATAATTCTTACGAACATACGTACCTTTACCAGCATACAGATATTACCGATTTAAATGAAGAAAGATACAGATATTTTACTCCAATCTACATTAAATTAAAAAAATATTTAAACTTTCATACATTCCAAGAATAAACGAAAACTCAATAGATATTGTATGTTTGTATATATGAGATAAAAGTTTTATGAATGGTATTTAAAGTAATGCTTAGAACTTCATAAAAGCGAACATTCACTATGTTAATACACATATCATCAGTTATTTACATAATTCAATGTAATATTAATCATTACATGTACTATATGCATATATATTTAAAGTTTAATTGTCTTACAGCTGAATAATTAACTATTGGAGATAAAGAGATCCATATCTTACACTATTTAGTTCGCATTGAACAAATTTTTCATCAAGACCCACATTGAACCGCGTTTATTAAATTCGTCAAAGCTCTTTTATTTCTGCATTTTCACACTCACGACACATTTTAAAATGTAAATTCTGATTACCATTTCAAGACATCGATATCATAACTCAATAGTCATAACTCAACGTAACATACACATAACTCATTTTTTCCCTACTAACTACAATTTTATATATTCAAGAAGTACATCTAAGACATGATCATTTTCTATGTTCTAGCAAATCGATTCAATTGCGAACATACTATTAAGATTGCGATTTTAGAAGACTGCATGTATTAACGATGTCAACGTTTCTTCGTTTTTATAAGATTCACATCAAATCATGTCGCATTCGAATGTGGTGTAAGAGATCACTTTTTCTTTTAAACACTTGTAAACAATGGATGCAATTTATAAGAAGAAGAAGTATCATGCTGTTTCAAAACATCATCATCAGCATATTTCTGTTTCTTTTGACTACCGGCAAACATTTAAAAAAAAAGTGTTCATGAGATTTCATATGCCTTCT